AATTTAAGCCCTTTTTTCTTACTAACAGTCTGGAATGGTACACTCCTAAGAGGACCTTGTAATTCTATTACATGCATAATTCAGATGGTAAGCATGGAGAAATCAAGCTAACTTGAAATTTACCTGTGAAAGCCTGCACCTCCAATAGAACACATAGTAATGTTAGTCACTGCATAGCAATAACTTTACAGAGTTAGTTCGACTACCCTGTTTAAAAATAAGGCATACTCACTTCTTTTGTGCTTCCCTTGTGCACGTAAATCCACTTTTCTTGATGAACATCTGTTTAAACAAAAACAATTTTTATTCATTTAGACCATATACATTCTAATCACATCACGATTTGCTTAGTTCTGGTAGCTTTCTTCTGGATGACAGCTGGAATTTAACAGCTGACTTTTGCTTCCAAATTCTCCAAAATTGCTCCTTCTTTATTCGCATCAGAGCGTTGAACAATTTAAAATTATGGATGTATATCAAATGCAGGTAAAATTAAAGCGAATTAAAATGTTGAGATAATTAGACTATTTGTGATCAGAAGACGGCTACTTTAATAGCACTCTCTCAGCCATTTGCTAGATCTTCTTTCGTATACAGGGTGGGACATGAATGTCCAGCACATAAATGCTGCATAAGAACTGTAGAGCAGTACAACAACAGAACCTATGTCCTCAGGAGGTAGTGAGCCCTCCAAGGCTGGAGACATTCAAAGGAAAAATGGACAAACCTCTTCGAGATCTGCTTTGATTCAGATTCCTGCACTCAATGGCCTGCACTCAGGGACCCTTTCCAACTCATGGTTCTATGAATTTCTCCACCGCCATGGAGAGGGTGGAATGTTTATAGTGCCCCCTCCATGACATAACTTTCGCTTACCCTAGGAAGGTGGCACTGATGAGATGTTAACCATGGCATATTTTTTTCACATGGTTGTTGAAGGGCCACTGTTTCTGTGTGAAGAGAAAACTGTATCCATAGCCATTTGTTACAGGAAGCCATCATTAAAAACTCAAATTCGTTAGTGTTCTAGAGACATGCTTCTAGCAGGCTGCCATGACTGAGCAATCAGACTTGGAAGCGAAGACTTTGCTTACCCTCTGATGACCAATCATAAAACAAAATAATCTAATTTCCAAACTATTATTTCTTGGTGTGTGAACAACTCCTGCTGTGACAATCAAATGCTTTCAGCACTTAAGGAAGGTCTTCTTCTAATTGCCTGCTGTAATGTACAGTGGACCCTCGACTTACAGACGGCTCGACTCTCAGACTTTTCGAGTTACAGACTTCTCTGGCTGCAAAATTTAGGTTTGACTTGCAGCCGGAGAATCGACCTACAGACCAGGAAAAAAAAATGGAACAAAAATAGAACAAAAATAGCCAGTTACGGGATTAACCAGTTTTCAATGCATTGTAGGTCAATGGACTTGACCTACACACTTTCGACCTGCAGCCACCGTTCCACTATGGATTAATTCTGTAAGTAGAGAGTCCACTGTATCATTCTACCCTCAGATATTCTGGCAAGTTCCTGGATGAGCTACACATTTCTTAAATGGATGTACATATATGTCCAGATGGGTGCTGTAGTATAATCTCATCTCCCGGTCTGATCCAACAGCCAGAAGATCTTTCTCCCAGACTGCTTTAGGGATAAGCCAGGGTGTATTTAGCGCACCTCTACTAATCAACTGGGTGACAGAGCAGTATGTGTTCCTCTGGTTGCAAAAATGAGGATGAAGGGATTTACTGCCAAAACCCTGGCAGTCCATTATACTTGGCTGACCAGGTGCTTTCAGCTTGGAAGGTCACTGGCCTGGCGTTAAATGCGTTGCACATTTAACAACCTTCGTATACTGCCTTTAAGAGGTTTGGCTGGGAGCATCCCTTTTGAGCTGGGGCGAGTGTCAATCAATCCATCAGCAACCAATTGTTGCTCTGCCTCAGGTTTTGAAGAAAGCCACACCTCTCTATTTAAGAATATTCCCCTCTTTTTTGTAGACAGTTTTGTGGTCGTCTGCTGGAAGTTATGCATTAGTCACTGGATATTATCATTATGGACTGTTCATATAACTAACCATATTTGTATAGCATGCTATTTTTGATCTGTTCAGAACATTGGGTGAATAAGGACCTTTTATTCTTTCTCTTACCGATGTCTCACAGTGAGTTACTGAGACTGTAAGTTCTAGTTGATGAGAACCCAAAAGAGGTGGTCTATTCTGGGGAGATGACCTGAATACCGGGGCAGATACTGCCATTCAGTGTTGGCAATACCGGACTAGACAGATCAAGAGTCTGACTCAATAGAAACCAATATCCTATATTTCTAGCAATGGCTATAATCCAGTAGTAAATTGCAACTAGAGGAGGCCCATTAAATCAGTAGAATGGACAGAGGAACTGGCTCACCAAATCCCTACGAATGTATATAAGCAGCACGCTTTGCTTTTGCTTTTGCTTTACACTCTTCAAATTTTAATTTTAAAGCCACACATTGAGCGTTAACAGGCTTCTATATAGTGTGGCTTCACATCTTAGACTTACACCCGGTTGTTTTCCCCATTAGTTGGCAAGATGGAATCATCAGGAACTAATTTGAAAAGACCTTTTAACCTTGCCATCTCTTTTAGATGGAAAAACATGCCTTCAAGAGCAGGGACTGGATTCACTGGGCGGAAGATAATGAAGCTTGCCGTTTTACATCTACGTGAGGTGGGGGTAGGGATGTCATTACCAGCACTTAACGGTGTGTTACAGGATTCAGGAGAACGCCTCTGGCTTGAGGGTCAAGAAACAGCGTGAAGGAATTTCC